TTTCATTGTTTATGTGACATATCAAGAACCTCATTAACAGATCATGCTTGAAGTGTTGTTTGAAAAATGCCATAATTGTGTCATAATTGCAATATACTACAGCATTATATACTAAAATGGAATACTAAAGCTTGAAGTGGAAACTCATTTATTGCCAGTCATTTAGCAACCATCCTGATTGTGTTTAATGAATTTCTAGTATGAGACGTCAACCCTGCTGTTTACGCTTGCCTCTCATTTTTCCTAAAGGGAGGGAGAATGAGATTTTTGTTGCCTCAAGCCTCATCTGTCCTTTTTCTAAAGCATCCACCACCCTCCACCCCATTACATAAATTCATTTTCATCATGCTGTGACAACTACAAGCACTACAATATAATGTAAATGGGTCATGCCGCACATTTTTATCAAATTGGATAAAATAATAAACGTGCAATTTTTTAAGATGGAAATAATGATTTCTTTCACTACAATATCACAATTAAGCAAACATGGGATTGTATCATTTTCTTTCTGTAAAGCACTTTGAATTACAACTGTGTATGAAATGTGCTATATAAAAAAACTTGCCTAGCCTATACTATCATTTACATTATTTATTTGACTGGACTTTACACAAATACTACCTTGAATTTCAACAAAAGTCTATTCATTTTCAAAAAAGTTCAAAATGTACTGCAGAACCGGAATGACCCAAATAATGTTCTCAAATGATGAAAATTATGCACATTTAACCCATTTGCTCTCTGCCTTCAGGATACAATATTATTAAAACTCAAGCCCATTGACGAAGGCCTTGGTCAGTGGGAATAATCTAAGGTTCATTCAAAGTAAAGAACGAAATAATTGTGCTTTCTTTCTGCATTTGGCCTCAGTTCTGGTAATTCGCCTGTGGCGGTGAAGTAAACAGCAGCAACCTCTCGAAATGCAAATAGCTCAGTTCTGGTCAGTGCCAGGGAGCAGAGGCTTTTTTTAAGCGATTTAAATGCACCAAGACAGGCAATTTCAATGCTGATCAAATGTTCATTGACTTTGCCAACTCTCCGACAATTCAAGGACATTAATGCCAACATTCTGTGGTGAGTGTGAGAGTCTTTCTGTGTTTTTCCTCACAATGGAAAATTGGCGTTCAAAAACTTAAATAGCAGGACAAATGCAACAATGAAGACAAATGAAAAATTCTAGAACCTTTATAAAGTCTGTTCTAAAAGCAGTCTTAGTGCAAAGTGTGTAAAAATATTTGGCACATTATAAACAAACCACACAGCTGATGCTCCACATACAAGCCAAAATTCTTCTGTAACCCTGAAATATGAATCATATTTTGCCTAAAGACAGACAAAAACTGTAAGTGAATGTTTTTGCATTGTTCATAATGCAGACCTGATTTCACCAAGAGCAACATGTTCCTGGAACAACATTCCAATAAACCAATCAGATTTGAAGGACAAGTTTATAGTTTATGTTACAACCATGGTTAGGTGCTTACATCAGTGTTATTCACATGCCATTCCTCTGATTTTAGGGATAATTAATATGTAGGGTTAGGTTTAGGGGTGGGAATAGGGTTAGCATTGCATTTTTAGACATGAATGTTGTTCCAGGATCAACAACATAATAACTCAGCAAAATCAGGATGTGTATTCATGACAATGCAAAGCAGCCTTATTTCCCAGCATCATCTCAACTGTGTTAGACAAACTCTCCAGCCGGCTGTAAATGCCTCAGCTACTTATTTGGACATCTAGTCAGCTAGTAAAAGTCAATATGCATGCCCTATATAATGTACCGTATATACCCGAATATAAGATGAGGTTTTTGTCCTAAAAATAGGCTAAAAAATGGGGGGTCGTCTTATATTCAGGGTCATCTTATATTCGAGTGGAGGAATCGATAGTCTTTTTCTTGGAAAAAACGAGCGCGTCGCTTTCATTATGAGCGCGCATACCGCGCGCCTACATTTGAAATAACGAAATTGAGCGCGCAAAAGACGCGATATGTGAACGGGGGGGGGGGTCTCGAACGGCGCTTTTTCTAGCGCGGCTCGAACAGAGGGAGAGAGAGAGAGCGGGAGCCGGATCGTCGTCGAAAACGTCCAGACGACCCCGCAGGGTGGTTAAATCCATCCCGTCGCACTCAGGAAGCGCATAGGATGTGCCGGTCTCCGCCGACGAGCGGGCCTCTACACGAGGCACAGGTGATGCGAGGCATTTGGAACAACGCCTCGGAAATTTGCTCTTAAAATTATTTTCTGTTGAAAACCAGATTTTTCCCACAAAAATCTATTTTTCCCCAAAAATAAGTCTGGAAAATGGGGGGGTCGTCTTATATTCAGGGTCGTCTTATTCGGGTATATACGGTACTTTAAAATACAGTTTTGCTAAGGAGCTTTACAAAAGAGGGAAGGACTTGAAAACCTGAAGGACTAACTTGTGTCGTGCCATTTCAGCTGTGGTTGAACTGGAAACGCTCGGCTCTCATTCTCAAGGTGAAAGTGTCCCGCTGTGGGGTAAGAAAAGACTTGATTGGTTCAATATCAGGTTTCACACTCATATAGACATGTGGTGTGTGCAGACATTCTGTAAAGCAGTGATTTTGCTTCAGGAAAACTGGTTTCGATTGTCAGTGACAAACTAAAACTGTACCAGAATTGTACAAAGTATGCAAATATGTCCTGAAATGTATTAATATACAGTATTTATAATATTAATAGTTATTAATTGTAATTTATGATTGGTAATTTATTAAACCAAAGCCACTGCTTTGAAAATTCTTGTAATGAGGGTCAGGCATCTTTACACTACCATTCAAAAGTTTTGGGGTCGGTGAGATTTTTAAAAATGTTTTTGAAAAAAAGTCTCATTTATTTGATTAAAAATACAGTAACAAAAGAAAAAAATCAATCAATCAATTTCTGAAAATGTCTTTACTGTCACTTTAGATCAATTTAATGCATCCTTGCTGAATAAAAGTATTAATACTTTTTTTTTTATTGCACAAACTTTTGAATGGTAGTGTATATTCATTCCTGTATTTCAAACACTTAATCCAGAAAGGCTTTGACATTAGGCAACAACACAGCAAATACAAACAACACACAAAAACATTTGCATTTCATAACCTCATGATGCTTCCCGATAATAAGGAAAGGTACTAAAGCAGAAACATCACCAGCAATCTTTCGAAATTTAACCGGCACTATTTTGAAGTAAACACCGTCAGCTTTGTTTTTTAATTTAATGCAGCTCTACAATGTACATAATTGATTATTTGAATATTGCATTATTGAACTCCAAGCTTTGGCCATCTGTGACTGCGAAAAAAACAAAACAAGACTAGAGCATATTGATGATTATAATCATGTACTCGCTCTCCCTACAGATTCCGCTATGATCCAATAAGTATACAAGTGAATAACAGCTCTCATAACTCAAGATATTACAAAAACAAATTAAGCTTTTCATTGCTTCCTGTGAGACCTTGCTTATGTTTTCTGTGAATACACAGATCTTGTTGAAACATAACTTGTCCAGCTGCCCATCTAACAGTGTGTCTTAACCAGGAAACAATCAATGCAGCAATTCTTCTGAGATGCTTAAGTAAACTGCAACCAAAAAAATTACACCAGTTTTTACTGGTCTCAATGACATTCATGCCTTATAACAGGTTTGATGCAACAACCAATTTATCCGGACGTCACAAAATCAGAGCCAATTAGAACATACTGTATCTGATGCTTAATGTACAGTTATGCAGAACCTGATTTTAGACCAATGAGATTTCACTGTGGGCGGAGCTACCTGTCACTACCAGGCTAATGACAAAATGCCCTGTTGCTCGTCACCTCTGGTTAGGATAGAAATCCTATTTAATTAGTTATGGGTGGGAGGGATGGTCAACTAGTCATCTAACCACCATCTAGTCAATTAGTGAGGTCAATCTAGATCTTTAAATCTTTAACGTTATTTGTAAAAACTTTGTGGCTGTGCCATGCTTGAGTTTACCAGTATTGCCTGCACAATAAAACCCTCTCTGAAAAGTCTCGTCTCTAAATTCATTCTCTTCGACCACCACTACAGCCTTCAATAATGCATTTCAAGACAATTATTGTCAGTGTTCAAATCACCTGCTGTTTTCCCGTTGTTGTGCATTGCCTCCAAGTCATATATTTGTCAATATCTCTGTTTTGACAGTTTTTGCAATAAAAGGCTATAGATATTCAGCTGTTTATAAGTTGAATATATCTCTGTCAAAAGGCTGTGCATTCTGCGTTGGGGGGGGGACAATTTTTTTTTTGCATTTTAATTAAGTTAGTGTTTTAAAGATAAATCTTGCGGCCCCTTTGGAAGTTTGTTGGGGCCCCCCAGTGGGCCCCGGTCCCCTGCTTGAGAAGCACTGGTATAAATAATTTTTAGACATGCAGACATTAGTCTTTTGCTGTTGTGTTGCATCTTGCTATTTGTCTCAATCGTGCAACTTTTAAAAAAGACAAAGTATGTTGTACTCCGTTCAGCTGTTTTAAACAACAAGATTGCATGCCATGTCAATACAAAAAGCACCTTTTAGACCCTAATTATACAGGGCTTCCATAAGACAGACTGTATACAATATTGATTACATGATGTTTTGAACATCCAGGCAAAATATGAGCATGCGACTCATCATGTTCAGTTTTGCATGTAACATATGTTACCACTAAAACAATCAATTGATATTTCAGACCTTCATTTCCATAAGCCTTTTGGGACTTGAGAACATAGCGGGTTGTCTGAATTCTGTAAGTTTTTGTGTGCTTTAACAGAGTAAGTAAACAAGTAACATGCTAGAGACTAATATATCCAGTTCACTAGAGCGGTGTCTATACAAAACTCCTTTATATTTAATACATCTTGGCATCTGCTTATGTTTCTGTGGCTGGTTTGCCTCCGTCTCTGCGGTGAGATTAAATGATGGGGGACTCCTTAGAGACGGCTGCTAGCAACTGCCTGGATCAGCATCCGTGCTGAGAATACCACCGCAGAGACGACGACAGAACGACTGCTGAGAGATCCAGCCGCGCTCAAGTTCTGCTGTAAAGTTCTGTCATGTAACCTGCCTTCACTTTGTCATCCATGAACATTCAATATGCACAGACTTGAGCTTGTTAAAGTGGAAACGAGAGCTCACCTGTTCATATATACTTAGACATGCACTGATGAGGCTGCAGAAGTTTTTTTTAGCATTAGACAGCTGAGCCTTCACAGACACAATTGATTCATTCTACAAGAATTTATTTGTCTGGTGAAGCAATCAGATTTTGATAGCAGAGATGGATCCAATCCAGAAGGAACATTTTATTGCTTGTCCAAAGCTCATGAGACTTTCCAGTCGTTTTATTTCAGTATCAATTTATCTTTGATGTTTCATCTACTTATTCTGAGAAATAAAATAGACACAGATGAGTCAAGTGTTGATGTAAATGAATATATAATATCGATGATTCCTTGAGGATGAGATGCACTGTGGTAGCAGCTGATGGACACACCAGATACTTGACTGATACTTTTGATATTAAACCCTGACATGCTTTAATTGTTCACATACTGTACATTATTGCAGCTCCTCTATTTCCAGTCTGTCTGAAACACGCTGATTTCTACAGAGCTCCCGAAATGCTCAGAGTGCTCTGATTGGCCAGCTGAGCTATAAGGCCAGATTTACTAACAGCTTGCTCCAGCGCAAACCCTCTTATGGCGTTAAAAACTACTGTCAGGACTTACAAAAGACATGCAGTGAAAAATTTGCGCTGAAAAGGCGTGGACGGTGTTATTTTTGCGGCTGACATTATTGCATAAGTATTTGAAGGAGTTTCCCTTTCAGGCGCAAAATTTATGGGAGGATAGTATTGAAATGAATCATGCAAGGTGATTTACTAAGGTTTGCGCTAGTCAATGTACTGGTGTTTGAGCCATTATTTACCGCCAAAAAAAGCACGTCTTAAAGCAACACTATGTAACTTTTCAACCTTCATAATATATTTCCAAGACCCTTGTGATGGTACATCGACTTACAATAGGTTAAATGACACGTCTGCCATAGCCTGACGTGGTCTGTATCGCTTTTACTAGCACTATGTAACTTCGGGTTTCGGGTAGTAACCCGAGCACAAAAAGAACTACAAAACTCGACTGCTTTACGGCATACGTCACTTCCCCCACCACTTCCTCAAATTGCCTATGGCCATTGCAGACATCCCAAGTCTATAGCGTTTCCCTGATGCCCGCAAATTAGTTCAAATCTGCCGGAATCTATAGCGCGCATGCGAGACAGAACATACTGCGCGCATAACATACATAGCACGCGCACGGCAGAGAGGGAGAGAGCGAGAGACCTTGCGAGTGTGCCTCACGAAAGCTAGTCAACCCCCCCCCCCCCCCCGTCAACAATCCAGTCACCAAGATATACCTCCCTGAAATGACTTCTTGCAGGTTGGGATGTCTGCCATTGTTGATTCCAAAGCCGGTGCTGGATAAACAGCGAGCGTGCGCGTGCGACAGTAGGCTAAATTATTTACGACAGCGGTAATGGACAATTCCGCTTCCAACCTGTAGGGCGACCGCTGAGGAAAAGTTCCTTGGTGTTGCTTTAAACCAGACGCTACCTCCCAGACCATTCACATTTGGACTTTTAATGACCATTGAAAAGACGTCCCTCCGACACGTCCCATCATGGTTGAAAAACAGTTCCAAAATGAAAGTTTAACGGACGTTTTTGACGTTATCTGTTCTGTGTTACATATTTTTACAGATTTATGCCGTCCTACTGCGACTATTTTTGGCCAGGGACACGACGTTGCCGTTGGACCAGTGTTTGCTGGGCTGGTAGATTGCGTTGGTCATTATGGAAAGATCTGACTGCATCTGTGTTCTTTCATTTGCGCGTCGTCAGTAGATCACTTGCAGAACTTTCCACTCCCATCGCCGCTGTTTTGGAATTGCGCTAATCTCTCACGCTAATTTGCCCTGTTTAGTGAATCTGCCCCCTAGTGCGTTGTGATTGGCCAAACAACTCAAGAGTGTGCATTTATAGAAAAATCAACCAAGGCACTTCTTCCATTTAAAAAAAGAAAAGAAAAAAAGAAGCCTTTATTCAAACCATGGCTCACTCTAGAAACATTAAAAATAACTAAAACACTGCACACTGATGCATTTAAGCAATTCAGCCTTCCTCAGGGGCTTTTTAACTTTTTGAACCGGAAGAAGTGCCTTGGATCTTTTTTTCTATCAATACAAGTTTAAAACCCAACCAAAGAGCACCATCTGGGATTACTTAACAAAGGTCCTTCCAGCAAGCAGTGCTCCAAAATGTTTTCTTTGACCTCAAGAGCGTGTATCGGATATGTAATGCCTCTTACCATAATCACAAGCTTCAGCTTCCAAGGCTTTTAAAGCATTTGTAAATAGACAGTTAAAAATAATGTTGAGCCCAGTTCGAGTCAGATTCTGATAATGTGGATGATCACG